CTTAAAAAGGAAATATACCAAAGGAATTATGATTATAAAAACTGATGCGCAAACTATTCTTCCCTATTGTAGGTTTACCGCAAGTATGGTAAAGAATATGGAGAGAAAACGAATCCAAACATTAGCTACCAGTTCTACACACCTGCCAGAAAACGTGATTTGACAGACGACACACCTAAAGGGAAATGGGCTCTCATCACAACACCCTGCCCTGTCTCCTGTGGGTCAGGTAAGTAACTGATTATCATTGTTACATGGAAAAGCTCAGTATAATATTACACATCTGATTGTTATTACTTCACAGACTGATTGCACATTATAGTCCCAGCTCTCTTACTTATGGAGCAAATGGCTTCCGTGAATTAGATCCAAAATGGGAGGCCTTTGTTTAATAGTGTGCAGCAAAATGTACCTTTTTAAGAAAGCTGATATACATACGTCTATTATAAGAACACAATGGAGCTGAGTATGCCAGATGTATTAAGCCATTGTTCTGAAATCAGATATTTGGATTAGCAAATACAAACAAATGATGATCTCTCTGAGAACTTAAATAAAGTTGATGAAATGTCCAGAGATAATTTATATATATGGAAAAATAAACAATCTGATATGTAAAACAGTTAATTCCACAAAACTCAAGAACAACCCAGGATCATTTTAATTAAAAATCTTTAAGTTGTTCACTTTTTCTTTCTCCACGGTTTCACTTTTTTATTTTTTTTTGCAGGTATCCAGAAGCATGTTTATGTCTGTGTGGGTGAAGATACCAACAAGCAGTTGGAGGAGCAAAACTGTGAATCCCCTTCTCCACCACCACCACCTCACACAACCTGTCAGCTCTCACCCTGTCCCCCCAGGTAAGGCTCATACTGTTCTCTGCCCATAGGACTTCTGCTCACATGCAGCTCAACACAAATTGGTACACATGAATAATTCAGTGTGTTACAGGTGGGAAACAGGGATGTTTGGGCCCTGCAGCGCCTCCTGTGGTGGAGGAGAACGAGTGCGTCCTGTGAGATGTGTTCAGAGAGACGGAGCTGATGTGGTAACAGTTCCTGCCTCTGAATGTGCGACCGATGCTGCTCCAAATACTGTTGAAAAATGTAACCGGCAACACTGTCCTGCAAGGTATAAAGTAATGTTGTTATCTATTGACAAATCTAGGCATCCACTTTCAAACCACTGGAATCCGTTTGTTATTCCACCCTATTATTAACGACTTGTGACAGCCTACTAATCATTTAAACTTTTTTTTATTTCTATTAAAGGCTTTAATAGCAACAAGCTATAATAATCACTTCCTCTTTGAAAACAGGTATAAGAGTCATTGTCTTACTCGTTCAAGTGATTGACAAATGCTACAATTTCCTCTTTCAAAGTCTAATTTTTGGAGCATTGTTTTATTATATATCTTGTATCTATTCCTTTATTTTTAAGTGCGCTTTTATTGAAAATGAGGTCCTGCACTCAATGATTTTATGAAATGTAAATAAACATTGAAGAAAATTAATGATTGTAAAGACTAAAAAACTATTAATGGTTACAGAATAAGAAGCTGCTAAGGTGTTTTCCTGCATCCTATAAAAGCTTTAATTTGACATGTGTTTACAGATGGCATGTGTCAGAGCCTGGTGAATGTTTAGCAGTGTGCGGGCCAGGAGAAGCAAAACGCATTGTGTCTTGTGTGCGGCCAGAAGACGGCCATGATGTCGAAGTGGATCAGAGTTTTTGTTCAAAGCTGATCAAACCATCGGATTCTGTGCCCTGTGTGGTGGATGTTTGCCCAATTGGATGGGAATCTACAGGCGAGGTAAAGCAGAACAAGACTAACATCTCATTCTTTTATCTTCAAGTTCAGCATGTCTAAACTACGTTTTGCATGACCAGGAGGATCAGCCCATGATGAAGTCTGGTTTGTTGCCACATCCCAGACTGGCTCCTGTGTACGTGTGGAGTCCTGGGATCAGTCAGTGCTCGAAGTCCTGTGATAACGGTAATTAAAAATAAATTCTCACCCTCACTCAGAAAAATAATCTCCTCTATTGATAAAGTGAACCAAAGCCTGATGCGTATGTAGGAACCCTGCAGGTGTGGTTTTCCTGTGTGGAGCACCAGACCAGACTGGGGGTTCCTGACTTCCACTGTGATGCTTCTTCCAAACCTCCACCTCATTCTGAGACCTGCAACACATCTCCCTGCCCTCCAATGTGAGACCAAACACATGGATAACAAATACACAATACAGTATATCATGTATCTTTAAGTGCAGTAAATCTCATGTGTTTTTTACAACAACCAGGTGGCGCTCTAAGCAAGGAGTCTGCAGTGTAACGTGTGGAGGAGGGGCGGCCAACAGAGTGCAGTACTGTGCTAGAGAAACAGAAGAAGAGGAGGTAGTGGTGGAGGATTGGGAGTGCAGTGACTTTCCCAAACCTGCAGCAGTGGTTTCATGTAACACACACAGCTGTCCAGCAAGGTATAACACACACCAACACACACACGTATGTGTGTGATCTATTTTTGCAAAAGAAGAATGGTTTGAACACCACTGTTGTTTGTCCAGGTGGAAGGTATTCAGGACGTCGCCCTGCTCTGTGTCCTGCGGTCTGGGTGTAGCTCAGAGGACTGTGTCATGTGTCCAGTTCCTCCACAGTAAAGAGAGTGTGGTGCCGGAGGAGAACTGCCATGCAGCTGTCAAACCAGCAATCACAGTGCCCTGCCTGGTGCAGGTCTGCACCTTCAGGTGGGAGGTGAAACCCTGGAGCCAGGTACATTCACAGGATTTAAAGCTTAGACTAGATTTAGGAGGAAACCATTAAGTGATATAAACTTAGGCCAATCAAAGATTTAATACATGAAATAAGAACAAAAGGGTGGGACATGCCAAGTACAAATCTTGCTGCAATGTAATTGGTTAAAAGCTAAATAGATACAAAATATTCTATGGTTTTGACAAATCAATTTCAGCATTATAGAAATAAGCTATAACACTTACTGTTTAGTTACTTACTGTTTAGTTGCTAATATAAATGTACTTGCTGCAGAAAAATATGTTGTCCTGCTCCTCAGTGTTCAGTACTCTGTGGGTATGGGATCCAGTCCAGAGCTGTCTCCTGCATGGGCCCCTCTAACCCAGAGCCCCTCAGCCCTCTGTTCTGCATGCACATGCCAAAGCCCATCACTATCCAGGGCTGCAACATGGACAGCTGTGGAGACGTGCCACACACCTCAGATGTCACCACTGCAGGGCAAACTGAAGAGAAGGCTAACATTTCAGAGCAGGGCCAACTTCCTTCTCCAAGTCCAACAGAGACCGTCACACAGACCACAACAACTGTCCCAATGTCTCAACCACGTTAGTGCAACTCAAACTTCTTACATGTTTTCAATAAGAGAAGGTTAAAGGATAAGCTTTTACAGGGTCTTCTTCTTCCCAGGTGCATGTGGACAGTTGCTCCTGGAAGAATCGGGCACTGTGGACTTAAGAAATATAAGTGGTCGCTGTATTGTCTCCATTGGTCGACCCCTGGATGAGGTCATTCATCTAAAAGTGGAATCGGCCTCCTTGAACTGCAGGAAAAGTGGGCTGTGACAAATATATAAAAAATTATATGTGTCATGACTATTGCAGCTAAAACAAAAATGTCTGTATGTTTTCTTTTACAGAGGAGTTTGTTGCATTTTTTGACAGCCTGGCATTTGTGAAAAAGTGTGAACAGGTAGCAGGGAGTGAACTGACCACCAGAACCAACGTCTTGCTGGTGCGTCAAAGTTTGCTCACCTCTGGGATCGGGGTCGTGTTCACCTACACCTCACAGAAAAACACAAAGAAGAGCCACCATCAGGGTAAGAGTGAGCATGTGTGAGTATAAAGGATGTGAGCTCATTGTTTTAGCATATTGCAACATAGAGGTTCCTGAATCCAGAGAGATGTGTGCAATATTCTTAACCATTGCACTGTCTATCTAATGCAATCCAATCCCGGAGCCCTGCAATTAAATCAAGGAAGCTGAAAGTATTGGAAAGCTGTGTGTTTTCTGTGCTTGTTGAGATTGTAAGAGTAGCTTTGATTTATCCATAATTGTTTTTGTTTTCTAATTATACTGTTGTAATGCTATTGCATCACATTGTGCTTTATTTTGTCCCCTTCACATCCCAAACCATTTTGAATTTAAACAATTTAAGCCTATCTTCCTGGCTATCACATTGGATTACATATGATTTAAGGGTTATTCATGGTATTTTTATTTTTTTAACCCTATGCATTTATGCCATCCTATCTTTGCCGCGCAGACTGTGACATTCAGCTGTTTTCCCCGAGCGGTGTCTTTGAGAATCCGACAACGTCCAGCACCAACCACACCTGTCGAGTCCTCATCAACGCCCCTCCCGCAGTGAAGATCAGAATCCAAGCCCTGCACATAGGATTAGTATTCAACTCCACAAACTCCCAATCTACATTTATAATGGTGCGAAACGGGATTTTGAACACGTTCCTTTGTTCTATAATGCTGCACACATGATAGGACATAGCATGAGTGTACAATGACTGCTCTTGTTTTGTTTTGTGTACAGATCCGGGACAGGGATGTGTTGAAGACAAATGTGTTCAAAGGCCAGCAGCTGTTTCAGTGGCATTCGTCTGGAAATATGGCAGAGATTGAATTTCACGGAGAATACCTGCGTTCCAAAGGGAGTTTCAGAGCTGAATATTCCTTTATGCTTCTGTAATACTACACAGAAACTGTTCATAGGAGCTTTGACATTTATCATCCACATTTTTTAGTCTTACAATTTTTTTTAACAGCCTTGAACTTTCAATATTGTGAGTAGAGGGAGCTGGATCATTTTTGCTGTTAAATGTGAAATAAATAAAAAACAAACCAAAGAATCAAAATTCTTAAGTCAAGCTAAGATGGTATCTTTTTGAAGACTACACCAGGAATATGTTGTGTATAAATAAAGAAAATGATTTTGATACTATCACAATCAGCAAATCATCTTCATTTAAAGTTTATATATATATATAATTGTAACACAATATATTAAAATATAGAATTTCCATCACAGACAATCTCTTCTCCTCACAAAGGCAGTGCACTGATAGTCAAACATTGTTCTTCCCAAAAACCCTTTCATAACTAGTTTCCCATCCGCTCCAGCAGCTCAGTACATTACACGTCATCATGGCGTTCTGCCAGCGACTCCGGCACCAGTTCAGTTGCAGCTCCCATACAGCCCCGCTGGGACACAATCACCCAGCCAAGCTCCTGTGTGGGATCACTGCTTGGCTGTAGCTGTGTCTTCAAGCAGAGCTCTCATGTCCAACAGAGCGTCCTCAACAGCCTGGGCAAACTTGGCAGCGTGGGTCTCCTCACAGCTGTTGAAGGCCGTGATGGCGATGTTGATGTGCTCATCCATGGGATTGTAACACACTCCGTAGCCATCTGGCACCATTGGACCAAAGCACATCACACAGTCTGTCTTGGAGCCAACCTGGATATGTAGACGAGGGCAAACACACAGACAAACATTATTACAAATGATCACGTGCTCAGGATAAACAGACTGTTGATTTTCTTAAATAAAAGAATACCTGGCTAGTGGAGAGATTGTAGTGCTGAGCCACAGCATAAGAGGTGTCCATGAATATCTCAGGCATGGAGGTCAGATCCTCGATACTCAGCATCTTCAGCCCCAGGAGATGCCTGTCTATGGCCTGTCCATGAATTGCCTAAAAATAGAAATTAAATGTGAATTCCTAAGATTAATCAAATGGTGTCAGAAATATATTACATTTCTTTGTTGGGGAATTCCAGCTCTCACATTGTAAGTGTTGTCCTTGTGTTTCTGAACGGCCTTCTGCAGCAGCTCCAGCCTCTCTGTATTCTGTTGAGAGTGTATTCACACTTCAGACAGCTTACAGGCTTTACATTCTACATGTATTGAGAAAATTGTAAAGGTTTTATAGTACCTTTTTGGTTGGGTCTTGCATTGCCTGGACAAATTTAAAGGACTCTACAGTAGTTGCACGGATGTTATCTGTTCGGCCATATTTGAACATTCGTAATGATGCACTCTCATATGTTGAGCAGCAGATATTATACATCCTGGAATGCAAAACAGCACACAGGATGAACTGTATGATGTAATACACTAAACTTGATTGTAATTTTTTTTTTAACTAAGTATAAGTTATTTCTTACCTGAAGTAGGCGAGTTGAAAAGCCATCTGCACAAAGGCATCTGGGCTCAGCTTATGTTGCTTTGGTACATTCTTCCCATAATGAGAAAACAACAACACCTTCACATCCAAGTCATGCACCATTCTAACAAAAGAAAGAAAAAAGATAAATCAAGCTAAATGTCTTCCATCAAAGATGAGACGATCGTATTAAACTGAGCTGGAGGAAGCATACATGTTCATATTTTGCTTTGCATTCTCAATGTCTCTCTTGATCTCAGGTGTAATGTTGAATCGTAGTTTCTGAGGCATGGACAGGGGAACCATGGGAGAGCGAACCATTTCACTTTTACGCCTGGTGAGAAAATATTAAACACTTTGTCATTTGAGTTTATTCAAAAACCTGGAAAACAATTAAAAATGTCAGGCAACTTACATGTATCTCACAACATAATCGATAAGAAAAACAATGGGTGGACCCTCAGCGGGGGCATGTTCATACACCAGTCCGCATGTACCATCTTCACCGACAATGAACTGAGGAGGATTTACAAAAAACATTCAAATTCTCAACCACTACCAGAGCACTTTTTGAAGTTTGAAATATGAAGCCATTTCTCTGCAGACTGACCTGTATTGTCTTGTCAAACCAGCGGTTGCCGCTGTTCCATCGAGCTCCTCCTCCGTGCAGCATCTGAGCAGCCACACGGCTCTGATACATCTCATCTGACACACGTGGCATTGGGGCATCCAAACAAACTGTGAAGATGCTTTTCTGGATGGCACGGACTGACTCTTTATTTGTCTTATCTGAGGAGGAATAAAATGACCTTGAAGATCAAATGTTCCCATTATGAAGTTTTCTCTCAAATGTCTTTCTATGCTAAGGAAGACACTGAGCAACTCTTGTCTGCTCACCCTTCATGAGATTGTTGTAAGCTTTTCCCCAGGTGTTGCGGTGCTGTGACGTAAGGATGCCAACAGGTTCCTTATTAGTCTGCAAAGAGGAGTTCCAGATCTTCTCCAGCTGCATGTACAGCTGGTCAACTGTCAGCGGGGTGCCATCGCTGTTGTAAACGTCCAAGATAAAGAACTGAGAGGAAGAGCCCGATCAGGTTAGTTCAGGCACAGGTCAAGTGTTTCTTTAGCCGCACAAATTTAAATAGAATTTATAAATAATCATCAACTGTAATGCTTAACTACATTTTGAGAAGTAAAAGAAAAGCAGTGCATTCTTAAATACCTGGAAGTTGTGGACCACAGTGATATGAGTTGGAGGTGTTTTCCCGATGGTGTGATTTATGACAGTGTCTCTCTTTGGACCAGGGATTCGACAGGAGGACAGGATCTGGTAATACTGTTCCATACACAGCGGCTGCCCACTCAGGTACTCTACAGGTAGGGTTTCACTGTGACACAACACGTCAAATTATTCATTGGTAGTATGCTTAACAATGTCATATTGATGTTGTGGCTTCTGTTACAATTTGTATATTAGTCGTATAGTATATGAGCCAAACTCACGTGTCAATCATGTTTTTAAAGTCCAAAACTCCAGCAATCAGTTTGGCAGCAAACCTGCACAGCAGACAACCTTGTGTTATCAACAAGTATACGCTAAATGTATACTTTATTCATCTTGTTATGTCACTGTGCAATATGATGTGTGCATGGAAAACAACACATTTTCCAATATTATCAAATAGTACTGAATGGTGAAAAGTGTCTACTGTCCCTGCACACCTTCATCTCTGTCACTGTCCTCACCGGAGTATCTCTCCATGGGGCCGCCATCTTCACTGCATATCCAATGGGTCATAGTTGCCAAAAACAGCTGAGCAATGTTGTGAGCAGCCGTAGGGCTTTAAATAGGCAGCATGTGTAAGAAGCCTGCACAAAGGTCGGCTTGCAACTCCAGCTTCATAGTTTGTATAGCTCTTTGACATTGTGTAAATCACTTTTTGGAAACAACTTCTGGAGTTTTCTTACAATAGGCCAAGTTGTAAATATAATGCTATGGAATCAAAGAAACACTGAGCCCACCTTTCCCAGCACTTCTTTTATTGCAATTTGTAAATGTTTGTTTCATAGATGAAGAGCTTTGATGGTAGATTCTGTTTTCATACCTCATCTGTCCTTGTCGATCTTGGAAGTGCATGCGAGGCAGGACAACTCCGGGGCTCGTGTAGACCGCCACCGGCATACGACAGTCTAGATAGGCTGTCTGCATCCACCATTCTGTCAGCTACATAAACACAGCAATAGTCAGTAAGCATGGTATCTTGTGCTTCTGTTTATTTCTCAATCGCTTGTGTAGATTACAATCTTCAAGGCAGATTCCACATTGATGTCCGACACACCCAAACATACAGAAATCCAGATATTTACCCAGTTGTCAGTCTTTTGTGCCCGTCGCTCTAGGCCTTTCTGCAACCTTTCCCCCACACCGCCCTTTAGGAACTCCTCCACCAGCTGCCGAGTGTGTTCCAGTTCCTCTTCACTTACGATGGGCTCCAGAGCAGCCAAGTATCGCTCAAATGTCTTCTTCAAGGGCGGCACAGGCATCTTAGGTAAACCTTCCTGGTGTCCCAAGGACCTCTCCGGGATCTGGGTCACTGGTCTGACCAGGCGACACGGCCGCACCATGCCAGGCCGCAGCTGGAAGATATAGTCTTAGTAAGCACAAACTCTCCTCTGCTAGTAGAGATTACACAGGGGAAAAAGCCATGTTCATTTTTAAAGAAATTGTGAGGATACTGTTGGCAGCTATAAAACAAGAGTCAGTCTTCTCAATGATAGTCTTGTTTGCTTTTGTAAGTTGTATAAGAGGCATCAGTTTGTCTCATAACAAGCTAAAAACTCCTTGCAAGAGTTGTAAAGTTTAATTTTACTGAACATGTCCCTAGTTGTTGTTGAATTATGACTGTATTTCAGAACTGTAAAATCCATGTGTCAAAATGTGATTAAATGGTGTGTGCAAATGAATCCTAAAATACTAAGTTACTCAGTGGGTTTAAGAAAGAACAGGATGAAGTGTGGTGAACTGCAGTAAGGTGACTTGGTCCATGAAAGTTGACACCAAAACAACTGAGCAGAGCACTTATAGTATTTGTTTGGACATACTGGTGATGCCAGCTTATAAATAGAAGGTTGACACAGTTGAATCTTTGGAAACCAAGCTTAAACAAACACACATGAAAGCAATAAACATGTCTCTGCCTTCAAGTAACTTAATAATGGTGGTTAATTACCACTATTTATAAGTCAAGATATCGTGATTTCACACTGAGAACATGTGTTTGAGGGTATCTCAATAAATTCTACTTTCATGATTAAAAATAAAGTAACACTGGGAATTCAGAAAACGTGATATGAAACATTCACATCCTGCAGTATAATAAAGAGTTTCCGGTTTTCAAAGTAAAACTTTGTTATGACCGCTGTTTGCTGCACTGTTCATGCTATGTTTTAACAAAACATGCCACAAATAATGATGATATACGTGGTGGTAATATTATTGAGAAAGAAACGTATATTGTAAGATAGTTTTCCAATGGCTTTTATTGCAGCATGAGCATTGAGCTAACGGGACGCTAACGGTATGCTAAGCTAAGTGCATAATTCACATGGGGAAGCAGCTTCACACTCTCTGCATGAAAACACAACTACTGCAAAGAGCATCATTTGGCAGCATGCAGGGGTGAAACACAGGTTTTATTTTCACCTAATATCATGACATTGTTGTTGTCCTGTACAGCGCCCCACCCCCTTCACTCAGTCTGCTGTACGTAAAACCAAACATTACGTTACACTGCTGCGTTTGTGTTATTACGCATTTAAAACAACATGTAGACTGAGAAACAATGGACTCACCGCAGCTCTGACAAAGACACCAAACATCTTGTCCAACAGACGCACCAGAGCACTACACTGTCCCGGGAATATAGATGGGAAACCTTCGGGCAGTCATGTCTCAAGGACATGCACACTGTCTATTCTCAGCCATCCGCCCCTCTCGGACCACAGAGGAAACACAAGCGAGCGCTCCTCTCTGAAATTCCTGATTTTCTAAGTTGAGTTTGGTAGCCTACGTGTACCTGTTTAACATAGTGTACCTATTTTCATCTACCTATTCATCTTGATAGAAGCAATATTATATTCCAGAGATTATTGTTATATTTAGGGTTTAATTACCAAGCCAGGCATACATTATAGATATTAGCCGACTTTTGCAGAAGGCTTGTCAAATTTGCAGAAAGTACAGTTAGGCCTACTACACCCCCAATAATAACCCTCCTCTTGTGAACACATAAGTGTGGGCTATAGCATTATAGCCTAATTCGTAGAATGATTTGATATGCAATGTAAAGCCAGTGCATCACGTTTTTTTTAATATTTTTAAATTTATTGATTTATATATTTAAAAAAGCAGGCCCTGAACTAAGGAATACATACAGGTTGCTATTCTGCGTTGATCTCGTGCATGAGGCTGTACAGATCTTTTTTGGCCACATGATGGAGCTCTTCCAACATCTATCCAAAGACACAGCGTTAACTTATTTCTTCAGGAAATACAAACCAAAGACAGAGTCCAGTACCTTGAAACGAAATCACCAGAAAACAAGGTTTAAATTAAATGTATAATTGATTAGAGCTCTGTGAGGAAAATATGTAAGCTGGCACGAGGACTTAATATGCAAAAGTTACCTGAAATGAACATAATTGCTCAATATAATCACATTTGAAACACATTTTTCAATAACACAGTAGAGAGTGAATTGCAGTCGTGTCATGGTTTATTTAAAGGCAATGAAATAAAACGGTACAAAGAAAAACAATCATTCAAATCAAAATGCTTCAATAGCTCTGGTCCAGCCGCTGCCTGTTAACAGTGTATGTTTTAAACAAATAGTTTGAGCAGCAATTATTTGCTCAAGGTCTGTCTGCTGCCAACTCACAAACTCAGATAGTCCACCTGAGCCCAACACTGAAATCAGGTTGGAGATGTTTGAGCTGTCCAACTGCTCCGGTTCTGAAGGTGAATCATCATCAGTCCTCATCCTTTTACATGGCCATGGCCCAAAGTCTGGCAAGTAAAACTCTGGATCAACAACATAATAACTTGTGTCCATCTTTCGCTTTTTACTGTAGCACTGCGCGCCCTGCGGCTGTTTTGACTGCGCGCAACAGTCTGAGTGAAAGTATCCATTCGTGACAGTAGTCACTACATGCGTGTCCAAGTCCAGGACAGTCTTTTGGTTGGCTTGTGCGTTTAGGACAGGTAAGTCCCACGAGGATTTGTCCGCACAACTCCAACAGGCTTCCGACACCATCAGTTCAGAGTCACTTTGTGGAACCATTGCGCAGGCAGATGCGTCTTGGTGCGCCACCTCTGCAGGCTGCCCGATGGACTGGTGCGCTCCGCAGTGCCAAGTGTCCGACTCAACCCCGGTAAAGTTGCAGTAGAAGTCATCAGCCAACTCCGTTAAGCTCCCAGTCAATTCAAGATATTCGTGCCGACCACGGACTGCAGCTACGTCCTCATAGTGGTGCGTCCTCTGCGTTTGCGATAAGTTTTTGCTCATATAAAACTGCCTGGCATTTCTCAGTACGTACGTTACCAGTAAGTTCTTGTGGAGCTTGATGCCTCCTCTCTGCGTCCTGGAGCTTTGGATTTTCCTCAAAGAAATGGAGATCAGATTCTGTGCGTCAAATGCACACTCCATCCTCAACCGGGCCACCCTTTCTTTGCTCTCAGTCTCTCAAAACGTTTGTTTCACTCACTGGAGAAATATAAGTGTCTCTAGTTGAGATTCCTACTTCATTCGTGTAGACTGTGTCCATAGCGCTCCATGTCTTCCCAGTAAGGGCATGGATTTGCAACTCTCATCTTTCCTTGCCACGCCCTCACGTACACACTGTCCAATGGGAGGGAGGCGGTGCTTCTGTTATACGCAAATGTCACTACTCGCCTCATTCAGAATGCACGTAGGAGCTGGCATGCTGCATTTCACTAAATGTGTTCTGAGCTTTTTAAACCCCAGTGCGGAAAAAAATCATCCAAATTAATGTTCGTATAAGAAAGTAAGAGAAGAGAAGAGAAGAGAAGAGGAACGAAGAGGAGAGGAGAAGAGAGGAACGGAGAGGAGAGAAGTAGATTAGAATAGAAAGTGATAGAGAGTTATGGAATGAATTTTTATATAAAGTACTGTAGTGATAGGCTACGGAAAAACAGAGGAGAGCCCAAGATTAGTTAAAGGAGTAGAAAATAATAGAACACAATACAACTAAATAGAATAGAATATATTTAAATAGAATAGAACATAAGATAGTGCTTTGGGGATATGTCCACATGTTTCTGTTAACTTGTCCAAAGAAGGAGGGGCCAGTGTGCGCACTAATAGCCTGTATTAAGTATGATACAAATTGAATGATTGTGGTCATAGATTTCTACAAGTAGGTAAAAAACACATGTATGTATGAGTCAAGAATATTTAAAACAAGAATAGTAAAGTAGAGTAGTATGGTGTAAAACTAAGAAGTATAGAACATGCAAGAGTTAAATATATCTGATATACCATAGAGTAATTGCATTGGACAGAACGTACATGGAGGAAATAGCATAGAATAATACATAATAGAAATGAATTGCATTGAATTTAATTGTACAGTAAGAAGTTTGATAAAGGAGGATAAAATAGACCACCAGAGTGGTGGCATTATAGAATATATAGATAGATAATTAGATAGGGAGAAATTACACAGCTTCATAGAATAGAATTACATGATATCAATTTAATCTAATGCTTTGGCAAAACTGTTCCTGTGAATTTCAAGTTAAGTTATTGTAAATTCTATCGCAAAAAAAGTGTGCGATAGAACAGAACATGATAGAATATAGAACAGAGTCCACCTATTGGAGTATAGAATAGAATTTAATAGAATAAAATGCATTCAATGACAAATACACTATTTTTATGTAGAACACATGACAATATTATGATATCATATACTGTAATAGAGTAAAATAGAAGATAATAATAGAATACAATACAATAGAGTATCAGAAAGTGAACTCACTGGAAGTGTTTTTCGTCAGGTAGAATAAGAGACAGAGAGATAAAAAAAAATGTCAGCAACATGTATCTTGAAACTATAAGGACACCAAAGACTGAATGATGGACATGAAGAAACCAGGGTTAAAACTTTAATAAAGGTTAGTTTGACGCACACAGCCGAAATGTTCCACTTTCCTCAGATCCTCTGGATGATTGTTCCATGCAGCAGGGCCTCGGTTTCTGCATGCAGACTCTGTCAGAAGAAAAACCCAACCCCCCAATACAACCGAGAGCACAGAAAAGAGAGCTGAAGACAAGAGAAATACAATGATATTCATTTCTATATTATAAAACTGTACTATATTATACTATTCTATACTATTCTGTTCTGTTCTGTTCTGTTCTGTTCTGTTCTGTTCTGTTCTGTTCTGTTCTGTTCTGTTCTATTGTGCTCTGTTCTATTCTATTATGTTCTATTCTAGCATATTCTATAGATAATATAGTATTCAACACTAATGGATTCTCTTATATTATTATTATATACAGCAATGTACTATAGGCTTACAACAATAAACTATACTATACTAGACTATACAACACTAAAATATACTATGCTATTCTATGCTATGCTATGCTATGCTTTGCCTTGCTATGCTATGCTATGCTATGCTATGCTATGCTATGCTATGCTAAACTATACTATATTATACTATACTATGCAATACTATGCTTTGTTATGCTTTGCAATGCTATGCTATGCCATACTGTGCTACCATACCGTGCTACACCTAACTTTACAATACCATTTTACAAATCTATGAAATAAAAATACAATAGCTATACTATAACTTTTTAGCTTTACTGTAACGATAGCTAATCTATTCATGCTGTTATTCTAAGGAATGCATATATTTCCAGGAAATCCAAAGGAGCTACCAAAACATGCAGCACACTGGTTTACTGCGCACATACATACACAGAGTAAATTATGAATGTTCTGTCTGAGCCTGACAGTGATGTCATTAGGACGGCCTCCCATAATAGAAATATTGTCACTGCACTCAGATGTTTGAGGTAGAAGCTCTTTGTAGAGAGATTATCTGTCATCGGTGCCCCACATCTGTTTGTGTGTAGACACACAGATGGCTGACATCATACAGAACACCTGGATATGACTTTGATTTCCTGCCAGATATGTGAATCAGGAGGACAGCCACTATTATGGTTATCATGCTCTGATAATAGTGTAAATTGGAGTGTGACATGTGGGCTCTCTCTGGAATATAGTTTCAATGAAAGACATCCGGTTTATTAAGTCTCTATGGCGCAGCATGCAGCAGTATGGCCTAGCTTTGTAGGCATGTTTATTTTCTGATTCAGTAATATGTAGTTTTGAATAGTGTAGCTTAGTTGCAGTTAATAAATGAATATCATTTCCTTTAACATTTACCGGCAGTAACGATGATGATAAAGGCAAAGTGGTATTGGTGTTCCTAAACTCCTGTCCCTCTGTCCAAGTCAAGCAGAAACAAATATTCTTGTTTCAAACACTACTTCATTATTAACCTAAATTCAATCTAGTTTATACAATATGTAAAGGATAGTGTGTTGTATAATATACTACAGTAAAGCATTATTCATGACAACACTCACATAGGAAAGAGTATCTGTTACCTTTTAAAGACAAAATGATGCAACTGGTGTATTTTAAATACCATTTATTTTGATTTGCTGAATGTATGGCTAAATGGTAATGCTAGTTAGATGCACATTGTAAGAATGGGGGTTTAGTGCCAAAATGTCTCATGGGGGAAAAAATTAACCGTAACGAAAATGTTATTGAGCATTACTGGAGAGAAACCACAACCTGTATGTGTGACAGAACCAAAGGTCAGACCAAATGTCAAATGGACCTATAGTGTCAGTTTTTGAAGAAGCTTCCACACAATCATTTGACTGTAACTTGACTAAGATTTCTAACATAGAAGTAAAGGCATTGCTGTTTAATGTCTTTAATGCTGCTGCTCAATGTGAATTAAAAACAACAATTATGTAAAGAACTTACCATACCAGGTTAAAAGTAACAAACATAACCTCAAACACAAACAAAATAATAAACCTTTCACTGTTCACTGGCTCTTTTCAATAAACTTCCTGTTAGTATTCTCATGAATAAAAACATGTCATGCTTTTGGCTCATAATTAAGCTTTCCATAAACTTAGAAATGGCAACATAAAAACTACAACTTCATGATCAAAGTGTCGGTCAGTGTGAGTGCATGTGCTCAAACATAAAAGGTTCATATCAATACAGCTTAGTTCTTGAAACAAATACAGTTATGTCAGGTTTTTGATATCTTTGAAGCCATTGTTGTTGCCAATCTAATATTCATAGTTCAGTATAGTAGTCTAATACAGTAATGGATTGTATAATATAACACCTGCTTTATTGTTGTTGAAATAAGGTAAGTGTCAGGCTGGATGTGTTGGATAAAATATCATTTTTGTCTATTTTGTGTTCTTTTATTTACCAGTGTTTTGTTTTTTTTTAGATTCATTTTTGGGCTCTTTGTGCCTTTATTGTAGAGACAGGATGTTGGATATAGTCAGAAATCAGGGAGAGAGAGAGAATAGGGAATGACATGTGGGAAAGAAGTTTGGATTCGAGCCGGGCCGCACATGGGGCATGCACACTAACCAATATGCTTCTGGTGCCCCACAACCAGTGTATTTTAAATCTATGTTGTATTGCATTACCACTGCCTCTAGATGAAACTGAAACCAGACTCTGGTTTCAACTTCTACATAGAGATGGATAGATGTATTTATTTTCCCAGATGGACTCTTGTGTTAACAGCTTCTACTTATTCCACCAAGAAGTATGCAGATATATATATATATATGGATGATGAAACAAACTCTTGTAGCACATTTTGGATAACTTGAAAAGTTTTGCTGAATATTGTTTAATTATTGTATGAACACATATTATTTTCTCAAATACATTGACAAGTGATTCAGATAAATATTGTATCCATGTTTTGAAGAAAGTCTGTATTTTCCCCTTGATTGCATAAGTACGTTTTTACATTGCTGAGCACTTAGAAGGATTTTACACAGATGCCCAACTGTCAGTGTCCCAGGGCTCCTCCAGGTATACAATGTTTAGGTCATATATTCCAGGATATGCTCACATAAAACTGAATCTGAAATCCTGTTCACCTTTTGATCCTATGTCACAGTTGTACTTACAGCAAGGTGCTTATTCACATGTATGGGGATTTCTATGGCTGTATTAATGTTTTTTTTGTTTTTGTTTTTTTTTACATATTGTTGCTTATTACCATTTTTGCTATCCAGATTTCACAATGCTGTGGAAATTCAATGTAACAAAACATCTCTTGTAGGATGTACTTTAATAGAGGATCATCTCCCTGATAGTGTTAAACATGGAGCTTTGTTCTAAAGATTTAGAGAACAAATAGATAAATGAATCACTAAATGCGATTGCAATGTTTAAATTTCAAACTGAATTGGTTGATTAGATCTTCTCCATCTGAATTTGTAAACCTTATCAAGATTTTGTCATTATGAGTCCTGATTGGTGTCCCACAGACTATTTGCAAATAGTTATATATTATAATTATTTATAAATAATAATAATAATTTTAAACCAAACAAATGTTCTTTTTCCAAACACTGTTATTAGAAGTAAAAAACACTTTCATCATCTCTATTGACATTATTTTTACATCCATATACAATTGTCAAGGACTGTTTTGTCATTTTGAATCATTTAAATGC